AAAAAATCTGTTTGATAAAAATATATACTCTATAATAAAAAAAATTTAATTTAATAAAAATCTTAATAAAAATGCTGTTTGATTAAAAATCAATAAAAATCTTTTTTTTGATAAAATCATAGACCAAAAAAATTACAATATAAATTATCAGTGAGTATAGGCAACATTATTTGAGATTAAAAAAGACGAAAATAATATTTTTTTTGATCTATTTTACTAATTATTTTACTATTTTTAACCCAACATTATTTTAGATTCTGAGTGTAACGATGAATTTATTGATTTTACTAGAAAAACAAAAGAAAAATTAAGGAAAAACGGGAACTCGCAAAATCGATAAAATCTGTTTTCGAGAAAATCGATTTTGGTTTTTGGTGTAACTCTAAAAGAAATGACCGTAAATACATGACATTTTTACTGACTGTTTATATTAGAATTTTCTATACACCATGCCTTTTTAAAAATATTTTGACTTCTTTTGAGCTATTTAGGGACATTTTCAGTTTCCAATTGTTTTAGTTTTTTATTCTATAAATATCAATAACATTTTATTGGTTGGTTAAAAAAGATTGAAAAATTAATAGAGGGATTCTAGTTTATTATTTCAAAGGCAGATGAAAAATATTAAAAATATTAGAAATAAATGAATTTAGAATAAATGTTAAGTAATACTCACTAGTACTTCATTGAAGTCTTAACAAATATCATATACTAATATTATGTAACAGTAAAAATAACTAATGGTGGAAAAGAGTGGGCACAGTTAAACCATTTTAAAATTATCATACTAATGCATAAAAACTAGTCTGGTGTTTTAACAACATTTTGATTATTTTTTTAAAATTCCTTTTTAAATTCTGGTGAATTAAGTAAATATAACATTTTTACAATCTAATACATTTTTAATACAACTCATTTACATCCAAACAAGTTTTGAAAGGAAATAGATGGTAGAAATTCTCTAAAAACTATAAACAATGGAAGGGTAAAATTAAATAGGAAATTATTATAACTTCCGCACTACCTAATACTTAATAAAATATCACAATTATTCTTAAGTGTCTAATATCTCAAAATCAGCCAACATATAGTCGGTCGGATTGGTGGAATCGATCGTCAAAAGTCGAGGGCTGCTTGAACTTGGGCCCCTACTTTTGTTTTTTTGATTCTTTAATTTTCTACTGATTTAAAAATTTGTTAATTTAATTTACAATTATTTACAATTAATTTACAAATGTTTGCAATAGTTTTGAAAATGTTTACACAAAGTTGGGGGCAATCTTCATGTACGTCTGCGTGACTACGTGAGGCAACAGTGGATTAAACAATCAACTGGCTAATTCTTTCACATCCAGGCTTATGCTCATGCTTATACTATGAATGGCTATTAAAATCTACACAATTCTGCAAATTTGCGGAATCTTATTCTCCACCAGGCGTAAACAGTCCTGTACACTATAAACGGTGGCATTGAGTATGCAGGCGTATTTAAAATTTTAATGAAAATAAAAGTAAGTTTTATATTTATTATATTATGCACATAATACAGTAGTTTTCAGCTGTACAGAAATAACATGCAATGTGGTAGTACGTGAGTTCGATTTGGATTATTTTTATTATGCATTTTTCATTATGTATCATTAAAATAGTTAACTTACACTTCAAGTATAAAAACAATTTATACTAGGTAGATGATGAAATATGAAAACTCGTTTAAAAATCCTTGAGATTAGCAAAAAAAAAGACATCAATATATGCTCTTCTCTTTCTACTATTCATAAAAATATTAAATTACTTGTGTGTTAAGTCTCCATCTGAATAAGTAGATAGGTACTTTAACAATCCGTCTGACACGGTCAGTAGTGCAGTGGCGTTCTTTAGGGGGGGGGGTCCCGGGGTATGGTTGGAATAATATGATTCCAGAATGAAATAATATAATATTGTTAATTCATAACTCATATGCATTTTTATAATATTATACACTTATTTATTTTTTAGAAATTTGAAAATACACTACTGCCGTAGTGACCTGTCCGCTCTCCACCAACCATCAACGACACGACATTGTTGACTCTCCCAGCACACCGCAAAGGCGCAAAGGTGAAAAGTGCAGGGATGGGAAGACAGTCTCGCCCGACGATGACCAGGCGCCGGCGATTGACTAGGTCTCATTTTACAACTGTCATCACGACAACCGGACAACTTGTTGATGTCACCGTCGTTATTACTTATTTTCATACCGCGTTACCACATTGTAATATACGGCTTTACGTTACCTTATTTCATATTTTGTTCATCGTCCCGTTGGGTGACAATCGATCGCACATACAGGCAGTGGTGTATTTAGGTTTTTGTCATGGGGGGATATGATTTTACCCAGTTGCCCTGCTTTTAAAACTAGAGACCTTAAGTTAGGACTCCGAAAAATGTCTTATATTATATACAGCCTATGGGGAGAATAATCCCTTTGATCCCCCCTTAAATAAGCCGCTGCATACAGGCAACTGTCCTCGTAAATAATTTACAAAATCATACCACCATAAAGTGTTCACCATAATTATTAATAATCTTAAATCGTGTTGTGTTACTACTATTACATCAACACCCACTCTGTAACCAGACAACATCACCGATAGCCCGTGTCGCGCGCCTTGCATCGTTTAGTAACTTTAGGAGAGTTTCTGGAGCTATTACATATTATTACATCCCTATAAATGTTCCAGTATGTCCTTCACACGTCCCGCCGTTATTCTCCAATAAGTTTTACCATCAATTAAGTATTTATAAAATCAACGATTTTACCATCAGTAACTTAATTCTCCTATCAGATATTTAGAATTATATCTGTACGTGGCAAGATTTAAACCTAGCTTTGCTCTTAAAAACCCTCTAACGCACTCACATTCGACCCCACTGTAATCAATCCGTATGGCGAGCTGTTATAGATCCCAACATGCCCCTTTTTTCAATATTTATAATAATATAAACTATAAATCATAAATTATACTTTTAAAGAACAAATAGTGCATGTTAAAAAATTAGCCCCTCGGTCATTTCACCACCACTGATTCAGAACTTCCTGGAATATGGCAGTATCTTGATTCTCCGTATGCCTCTGCTATGTCGGAGAGAGTCCAGAGGTATTCCTGCTAGCTGTGGGTTACACAAAAGTACATAACCATACACATCCCTCAGCCACCTCATGACTAGGTACTCACCAATTCTAGATTAGTTTGCATTCCCTAGTCTAATACTGATCGTAGGCACAGGTCTTTTTTTTTTTAAATTAATTTTCATGCAAACTTGACTCCCCTATGCAGCCTGCACTCATTTCTATTGTTAGTTTCAAAGTTTCCTCACGCTATACCTGCTAGATTTAGTTGTTAAATTATAATAGATAACACAGAATATTAAAACATATTCTTAAGTATAGTATAGAGTCGATATAAAACATGGACATAATATACCTAATTATTGACGCATCACTCGTACGTATAGGTATTGCACTTGATACTTATAAGTCAGTTCCTACAATCAGATTGTAGGTACTTCCAACATACATACATAATATTATTATGTGGAAATCAATAAACATTTAAATATTTTTGACAGTTTATTGATCATTGGGAAACAAAAAAAAATTATAGTTATATTATTTATTAGAAAAGTTTAAAATGGGAATTTGGATTTAGTAAATGTTTTAATATTTTAATATTTAATAAGTGAATATACTTTGATATTCAACCTGTAGTATAAATTTTTTTTTAACAATTTAATTATAATCATGATTCTTATTATTATAATTATGTTAAAGTTAATAATCAATACATTTAACTATTTAAGTATTTAAAGTTTTTTATGCATATTATTAAGAATTTATATAAGGATATTTTCAAACATGTTTTTTATGACAGTTTTATTACCTACCTTGCTAATACCTTGCTTTTTGTGAAATAATAGTAATAGTAATGACAAATATTTATTAATACCATTCTGAATGTCAAATTGTTATATCGATAATTATCGATATACTTAATCGATTGTTAGTTGGGGACGCAACTATCTGAAGTGTTTTAATACAATATGCTTAAATAGGTGTTATTACTTATATCTGTACTTACCAATCCTTTTTACGTTAGTTTTTAAACTGGTTTATTTCATAATAAAAATATTTACGTCACGGTTGGTATTCAATTTAGCAATATTAATGTAAATCTGAAGTATTTCAATGTATACATAAATATTAAATATATATTATATTTGTTCTCACCAATCGTCTTTAGATTAGGTTTTTGATTGGTTTGTTAACAAAAATATTTATTTAAGAGGACGCCACACCCGCATGTGTTTTCTCCGTCTTACAAATGTACAACATAGCAAAAACTCTTTTGCGAGGGACAACTTTTCTCGCACCATATTTGTTGTAGAACTACCAAATTTTCACAGCACTTAAAGAAGAACTTTATCTGTGCAACAGTGTGCTCTTTTTTTCAATAACATATATACAATACAAGTTATTTGCTTCTAAACATTTGGTTTTTTAATTTGCTTATAAAAAATGATTGGATGGTGCTATTGAAAAAAAGAGCACTCTGTTGCACAGATAAAGTTCTTCTTTAAGTGCTGTGAAAATTTGGTAGTTCTACAACAAATATGGTGCGAGAAAAATTGTCCCTCGCAAAAGAGTTTTTGCTATGTTGTACATTTGTAAGACGGAGACAACACATGCGGGTGTGGCGTCCTCTTAACGTTTAGTATTCATTTCGGAAATATGAATATGAATCTCATTATTATAAATTACCCGGTTGTACTAAGCCCAGTATTATATGTTAGAGCACCGACATCGGTTCCATTTATTATTAATGTTGTTTTTCAGATTATTTTATTTGTTCTACCAATACGCTCAGAAGAAGAAAAAGTAGTGTAGTTACTGCACGTTTGTTTTTATTGCTTTTAACTTGTCACCAAATTGATGTCAGTTCAATAAAAAGAAAAATATAATGGTTGTGACTTTGTAAGTTGATTTTATTATTATTAAATTAAAAAAACTATATTACCACTTACCGATCAACTAATCAATTTTGTGAATACTGATGTACTAAGTATTATGATTTATGACCAGAATCCCCAAATTTTATGTTTTGTACGTTCGTGTTGATAGTATAATTACCTATAATTACCGTGATTGAATATTTATTGTCTGTACAATTATATGGATATAAATAATAATAATAATAATTCGAAAGAAAAGTTTATATCGATTGGCGTATCTTGAATTAAACATCTGTACATCCGTAGTACAATTTTCATACCAAAAAAAGTTCCATGATAGTAGGTGATTCTTACATTTTGTTGAATTTTTTGATCACCAATAATATTATCATTTTTAGATCCAATTGGCACCCTATAAATAATTAATTTTGTTATATGATTTAATATTAGTGTTATTATGGATCTTTAATTATTAATTTTCGATTTGCTTTACTTAAATAAATCAATTTAATTTCACTGTTTAATATAAAAAGTTAATTTACATTTTTTAGTTTTAAAAAACTGAGTCATCTTTACTTTAACATATCAGTGCGGGATACTTAAATATAATTTATTTATTTTCTCAATAAAATGTATACTGTTCACAGTTGCACATACATAACTACATGACATACTTATAAGTTGTAACTAATTGCTAATGTTACTATATAATTGCATTTTAAAAGTAAGTGCGTCATGCACTCTGCAACATATAGTCATGCTATGACAATAGAATTAAATAGCATAATATATATATATATTGGTAGATTGACTTTGGGCAGATAATTTCCACTGTGGGAAGTGAATCCCACAATTAATCACCAATTTTGCGTTTATGCCGATAATGTTTCTTTCTGATTACAACCAAAACATATTATAGTCGCCTTGTTCGAGTAGGACTGGCGATACTGACTGCCGTAGTTTCATTCCTGGTGGTATACTACCTCCAGGAATCCTTGGAACAAAACTCTGCTACCAGAATCTCTGACCAGGAATTCTGGTTTCCATCGTCGAGCATATTGAGAGCAGTCCCGTTCAACGAGGTCGGCAACTCATCCTACGTCGAACCACCCACACAGTTAGTACCTAGTGTAATAACTGACATATTTGTTATGTGCGATTGATATTATTATTAAAGACTCACACTGGAACGTCTGGAACGATGTTGATTATTTTCTTCAGATTTCATTCAAAACCTTACCTGTACTTAGTAGTACTGATAATACTGACCGCCATAGTTTCGTTCCTAGTCTTATATCCAGAATCACATACCACCGACCACAAAATCGATGATCCGGAATTCCAGGTACCACTACAGTCGAATATGCCAGCGGGCTTGTACAATGAAGTTGGAATTGTCTCTAACGGTTGGCAATGCTCACAAATCGGAGTGTAATACAATAATTATTGAATCACAATATTATTAAAATAACAAAAATATTGCCAAAATTTAGATTTTTTTAATATATTTAATTCTTAATGCTCTGTTACTTTTAATAGTACCTATTACTTTTTAAAAGCAACTATAAATTGTTCACATTTGATTGCACGATTCCTATTGTTTTGCAAAAGGAATGTTATGTCAAAGGGTGGAAATGCCGTAGATGCCGCTATAGCTACAATGCTATGTGACGGTGTTCTATGTCCAGAATACTTGGGAATTGGTGGAGGATTTTTAATGAGCATCTACAATGCAACAACCAAAAAAGTAATCACGATCAACGCACGTGAAACAGCTCCAGCTGCAGCAAGTACTTCAATGTTTGTTGAAAAACCCGACAAATCTATTTACGGTACGTACTACAACAAAAAAGCGGGGTAAGTTAAGCTAAGTTTGTTAACTCATTAATTGAGTTGGAATTGGTATAGAAAATTTAAATTTTTAGCTAAATTTATATTTTAAAAAATGTAGGTAATTCAACTTCAGTTGATTAAAATTAAAATTTGACGGCTTGTAATTAAAAATAAAAAGAGTGAAATAGCTTAATATTAATGTTATTTTATTCACTGCCTAGCTAATTTATTTTCGTAAGCTCTGAGTCCGAAGATGGTAGGATAAAATATATTTTAAAAGTATTTAAAATAATACAGAAAACGCCGGCGATGGTGAACCCGTGTTGTAAAAAATTAAGCACCTCTCCGTCTCCTCCGTCTGCTCGACACGTTACCGTCGATTCCTTATAGCGCGACCAATCGCGTACCTTCGCGGCGGCGGCGGTCGGTTTTAAAACGTTTTTCGTTATCACCTCTTTTCTTATAATTTCGCTGATTTTTGAAATTTTCGGAAAATTAGCTGTTTTTACACGATTTCGATCATTTTCGTCCCTTTTCGCACTTTTTTATACTTGATTCCGGTAGCTCTCGATATCCCGAAGCCGCCGGTGTGCGGTTTATATTCGTGCGCCGTCCGAAGCGGTCGCAATGTCGATTGAAAAATATACTCCCGGCCGGACTTTTTTGCCGATTTTTTCGTTTTCTCCCACCATTTCGTCTATTTGCACGCTGTTTGTGCCCGAATCGTGTAGTTCACGTCTTTTTAAAGCAGTTTATATGCGCTTTTCCCTCGAAATCGGTTCGTTCGTCTCGCAATCGCGCTTAGAAATTACGCCGGCGACCGACCGACCTTACGCGTATATATACATGTATATACGTGTATAAGAGTACGATTTTTGCCTATGATTTAATACCTATTAACAGAAAACGCTTTTCACACGCCCCGTTAAATATATATATGGGAGATGCGCGTATTACAACCGAATTATATGCGATTACATCGATGATCATCGAATATATCGGTTTACGTCGCTCCGTAGACGCACAGCTTAAGTGTTGATGTTTTAACTGTATTCCATATCACAATCACAAACCGTCTCCGAGTAGACTAGGCGTTATAGGTAGGAATCGTAGGACGCAGGTCCCGAATTCGAATCCGACGTACGACCTCCGGGCGGTAATACGTTGTAGCCGTATGGTATACACGACCGCCCGAAACTTGACTTTTTTTGCATTATTTTTTCACTTTATTTTTCATATAAATTAAATAATAATATAATAATATACACTATACAGGAACATATCGTACATTATATATATATATATATATATATATATATATATTATATATGCGACCGATTAGTTTGATTAGTTATTATGGATTTGACCAATACACATTTTTCCAAATTAACTTTTAGACGAATAGTCGCTTTTGGCCATTTATGTCCTGACTTCGCCTACGAATATTATTATTATTGTAGAATATAAACCGAATGCTAGTTTTTAAACTATGTGAGGGTCAATATATAAAATTCAAAAAGATTTTTTTAAATATTAACCATTTTATTATCATACTAGTCGGTAAGTGAGTACTGATTTCGGAGGCACGGTCGAATTATAAAAGTCGCACTTATAATGAAGGTGATAGGTTGGTAGTCGGAGGTGATTTGGTGATAAGAATTTCAGATAAGGCCTCCTTTTGCGGTCTCATTTCGAAGGCGGTCAAATTTGAAAGTCGAGTCTCAGTGTCTAGAAATCTCCCATGGCCCATGAAAGTCGGCAATTCAATGATAGTATCCCCTAGGGTATGTCCGGTGCTTTTTTGTATACGTAAAAAATGTAAATTCGAAAAATTGCATGCTAGAGTGTGTAGCAAATCAGTCATCACCAGTCAAGACGAAACCAAAATAAGCAATACGCCTGCGGCGGATAGAGTGGTATTTGCCGTCGCATGTCCGGTGCTTTTCGTATGTAAAAAGTGTAAAGTCGAAAACCGTGTTGGAGTGTCTAGCAAGTCAGTCATCTCAAGTCAAAATCGATTAACTTTCAAGTTAGCCACCTAGGTAGGCAATCCGAAATAAAATACAAACTATATTTATATAACAATCATGGAAATTTTGAAAAATATGCAATTATAATAATTCCTAATAAAACAAATATAATATGTACCTATTTATTGTGTGATATAATATGACAATGACTTTAAATAACATATAGGTAGGTACATAATATATATATATATATTATATACCTACTACTTATTTTTTAATATTGGTTTCTTTTTAAATTCCATGATAAGTGTTCCACATTCAATAGATAATATAAAACTGTCTCCTTTTCTACTAATTAGTATACAGGTCTAGTTGTCATATAAAATTAACTTGGAGTTAAATATTTAGGAAACTTGATAAGTTGAAAAATATAAACAAAAACAAATAATTTTCTCTACAAACTTAATTTTTAATTTACTATTAAAAATATGAGTAATATTTCTGATCAATGTGTTTTATAAATGACGATGATAAAAGCATGCACAATAATTATTTATGCACCAGTATTAGGAACTAAATCATATCTATGAAATAAAATATAATATGTACTTATTGTTTAAACAAAAATATTTTAAATCCACAAATTATGTGTAGGAGGATTGGCAGTTGCGGTTCCAGGTGCGCTAAAAGGCTACTCAGCTATATATAACTTATATGGTGGTGGCGTTCCATGGGAATCGTTATTCGAGTCAGCTATACAATTATGTGAAAATGGCACTGATATCAGTAAACAACTAGAAACAAACTTGAAGAATAAACAAGACATGATTGAAAATGACCCATCGTTAAGGTACAATTAATACATAACATATAGGTACATTTCTTTGTTTTATCCTTTTATATTTTTAGAGAATCTTTTTACGATGAAGAATTCAGTCGAGTGAAGACTAATGGAGAAATTTACAAGTTACCTAAATTAGCAGAAACACTGAGAATAATAGCGAAAGAAGGGGTGGATGCCATTTATAATGGTTCGTTAACGTCTAAAGTATTAGAAGATTTAAAAAAAGTGAAAAGTTTAATCACCAAAGAAGATTTAGCCAGTTATGAGTGAGTAGATTACTTAGTAGGTTTCTGAGATAAGTTTTAATTCATAGTATTGAAGTTAGAAATTTTATTTTTAAATGGTGTAAACAAAATAATTAAGTACAAAAATCAATGTCATGTTATCAGTGTTGAAATTGAAGAATCTTTTCCCGTTAAGTTGAAAAGTGGACATACAATACATACGGGACCACCGCCTAGTTCTGGTATAATATTAGCCTACATACTGCGTGTGTTGGACGGCATGTTACCAGCCCCAAACGCAGGATTGGACGCTCATCGATTGGTGGAGGCTTTCAAATTTGGTTACGGTGAGAGAACCCATTTAGGAGATCATACATTTGTAGACGTGTCGCAGGTATACATCATGTATGATCGAGTACATATTATTTTAACAAAATTTATATAATATTATATTTGAACATAATTACATTTTTTAGATTTATGATAAAGTAAAGTCAGATTGTTACATGGATAGTATACGTGGTAAAATATCCGATACTTTTACTTCATCAGATCCAAAGTATTACGGCGGTGACTTTCATATGCCAGATAATCACGGGACTGCTAACATAGTCGTAACGGATTCAGTGGGAAATACTGTAGTGTGCACTAGTACATTAAACACATAGTGAGCAATAATAATTTATATCAAATCGTTTAATTGGTTCACGTAAATTGCAAATTCGTGTAATGCATCAAGTTTGTGTTTCGTTTAGTTTTGGATGTGGATTCATGTCCCCTAGCACTGGTATCATTTTTAATAACCAAATGAATGATTTTTCTTCTCCGGAAGTTATAAACTACTATGGAATTCCGTCTTCACCTGCAAATTTTATAGAACCAGGAAAACGACCGATGTCTTCAATGTGCCCAACTATTATTACCGACAAAAATGGTGATCTTGTTCTTGCAATAGGAGGAGCAGGTGGATCAAAAATCACTCTTACAATTGCTTATGTATGAGATTTATTTTACTGCTATAAAAACATTATCCAGTTTTTGAAGTTTAAGATGATTTTAGGTATTTTTTTCAACACCTTTTGTTAGCTATTTAATTGTTTTATAAATGTAAATTTCAAATCTGATTTATTTAATAGTCACCAGTACTTTTAGTAAGTATGATCAACATGTGTTACGTAATTTAACTTTTCAATACTCAGCCAACTGAAATTTCGTTTCAATAGTTGGCTTAGGCCCGGTTTTTCAATTGACTTTAACTGGCAGTTAGTAGAATTTAACTGCCGGTTAATACGTTGTCCCAGTTAAACTGTTTTTGGAACTCCAGTTAAGTTAACTATCAGGTTTAACTGATAGTTAAACTAACCACTACTATTTCTTCCGATTAACTTTTTAACTGTTAGTTAATTTAATAATTATCATTGATTGTGATAATTTTCACAAGTACACTTTAATACGTTTCACATTCACTTCTATTTTTTCTTTATAATTTGAATTCAGATACTTACTTACAAATTACAACTATGAATTTCGAAAATGAAATACTTTTTTTATGACGATGACGTTGAATTTCAAGAATATTTAAATTATCAACGTAGACCGTATACTGTACGAACTAGGGTTCATCATTTTAGGACTTGGGATGAACTAGATTTTTTAAAATCGCTTTAGATTATCTAAAGAAACTGTTATGATGATATTAAATATGATTGGCCCTACAATATCCTCAAATACAGATAGGTAATGTACATAGTAGTATTTACATTATTCAAAAATTAATCCAAATAAAGTACTCAGTGACTTTTTTTTTTATGTACAGAAATAATTCTATAACACCTGCACAAAAATTATTATTAGCTCTGACATTTTATGCTACGGCATCTATTTTAATTAGTGCTGGAGATGTCATAGGTGTAAGTAAATCTGCTGCATGTGTTATCGTACATGATGTAAGTGTAGCCTTGGCAAAACTTCGTCCTCAAATAGTTAAAATGCCAGAAACAAATGACGAAATAAAAGAGCTGCATAAACAATTGTATGGTTTAGCCGAATTTCCGTTGGTTATTGGGGCCATTGGGCATTGACTGTACTCATTAAAATTCAAAGCCCTGGTGAGTTAAATAATAAAATAAATTAAATAATAAAATCTCATATGTCAATTACTACTTTACTAGCACTTACGAGTTACGGAAACATTCAATTTTTTTTAAATAATTATGCTCGTTAACTCGTTTATACTATTGATAATAGACAGATGTATTAAGATAATACACTTTTTGCAGTATGACCACTCACAAGATATATTGATTTTACGATTAACCTCTAGTTAACTAACTGGCACATTAATTTGACTTGATAAACAGTGCACTTTTTAACCGGCGTTTTAACTGATGGTTTAAATTAACTGAAAGTTAACTAACTGGCAGTTACTATAACAATTGAAAAACCGGCCCTTAGTATACTTTTCACACTGTTTTGTGAAAATGGTTTTTTTTGCTAAGTAATATAATTGGACGGTGTTTGGGAGAAAGGGTTCAAGTCCATTTTTGGTCATTTTGATGTAAATAGTCGATTTTGTAGGAAATTTTGTGCCGCATCGATTGGTCAAACTGTAATGCATCCATGATCATTTGTTATCAAATTATTTTCAAGTGCGTTTTGATTCAAGTCATAATGGAAATAATTTGTTGTGAGAAACCACCCAAGTCCAATAACATGTTATCACTTTTATGTGATAAACGGACTAAGTTATTTTTATAATATAATTGTTCGTGCATAAGGGCACAAGTCACACAAATTTTTAGTGAACAAAGGCACAAGTCACATGCAAATGTTCAGAATTTAAGTGTTATTGGGCATAAGTCCATGTAAACAATAAGAAATTCCTTTTTTACTTAAAAAGAATTTAAAATTGCAATAATTATAACTTAAAATAATTATATTCAATATAAGATATGAATATTTTTGGATTGGGTACCATATATTATGTTTTTTTCGTTTATTGAAAAACTATGATTTTGGACTTGAACCCTTTCTCCCAAACACCGTCCAATTATACTATTATAGTGACATACAAGGATCGTGTTAAAACACATAAATATTGTGGTCATAATATATTATTAACTGCTTAGTGCTTATATTTTCAATAAATGAGTTCAATATTTTTATTCCTATAGGTATCAGACCTTAGAACCTTACAATGTAGTTAAATTAGCTAGGTTAGGTATAAATAAACCATATTGTTATTTTATTTTATTTCATTCGTGAATGAAAGCAAAAACATTTATATAATAAACTTTTTTTTTTTAGGTCTTAGCCCTCAGACTATGGTACGGTATGTCATTGAAAGAGGCGATAGACAAACCTAGAATTTATCACCAACTTGTTCCCATGAAAGTTCTTTATGAGTATGGAACGACAAAGGTTATTGTAGAAATATATAATAAAACTATAAAAGATAATATTTAACAAAAAATTTTGATATTCTTTAACTATCAGTGTAATTATTTTAGGACGTTGTTCAAAAACTTAAAGATATTGGTCATCCAGTGATGAGATTAAATAATGTTGTTTCAGCAGCAACAGCTATTGGGAAATCCGCATCAGGAATGATCGTAGCTATGCCAGATTTCCGGCGACCAGGAAATTCGTGCGGATATTAATACGAACAAATTTTACTTAATTAATTTATCTTTTTTTACAGTGATTATTTTATATTTTGTACGTTTCTTTACAATTATTTGAAATCTATTGATATAGCACAGTACCATAACTATTGATTTTGTTTTTGTATATAAATATTTTAGGTTATTATATAAATGGATTGTATTATGAATTACAACTTATAAGATTGTTAGCAATTTCTGCTATTTTTTTTTTTTAGTAAACTATATATTAAATACTTTGTGTAACCATGAAAACAATTTTAAGTGATACAAATTATTTCTAAACGTTGAAATTATAAAAAAATATTAAAGAATTAATTTTTTCAAATAATCCATAAAATAAACCTCTGCACAAATAAAAACATATTTTATTTTCTTAAAAAAAATTATGTTCTCATATGTAGTACCTATGCAGTATTATTTTTGAAGTAGGTATGATATTATAGATATTATATTCATTATTTAGTCGGATTAGGTTTGAAGATGGGAAGTACCAAGGTACTATATTAATTAACATTAAATGTTACTTACCTAATAGCTGTATTTTAAAATTGTTCAAACTTATTATATGCATATTTAATTTCTCTTCCGAATGGTTTGTGTCGAATCTATATTCAAAGCTTTTCATTTTTTAAAATTATCACGTACTTGCATTGTTGCATTACATTTTTTCATAAATAATTAGTAAGAATATAAGAATAAGGTCTATTTATTACTACTGAATACGAATTAGCTCTAATATATATCTATTGAATTGACAGGTTGTCTTTTAGTTATTGTGCTTAGTAAATTATTAAAGACTAGGTAACATGTAAGTTTGGAATGGAATACAAAGTCATTAGTCAAACATGTTTAACTAAAGAAGTTATTAAATTTCATTGTTCAGTTTGACTAAATTATTTGGTTTTGTAAAACGACTAGTGTGTTTATTTAACATAGTAACTTAGATCATGGTACAAGATAGGATTTTAATCGACAAATAAGCTCCTTCGATATTAAATCGGTATATTTTAATGATTAACGCGATTCGTTTATAAATTATAAGAAAATATTGTTTTTGTTAGTACGTAATATTAAAATAAAGTTATAAAATATATTAAAATAGTGAAAATACACCATGTTATAATAATAGTGAACACTGATAAAGTAAATTGTTCAAATATATATACCTAGGTAAACAAATTTACGATTATTTGGAAGCTACCTACAACCTGGTGAGTTAAATTTTTTATTTACATATTTTTCATTTAAATTGTATATTAAATTATTAAGTTTATACGATTATTTTAGGTTATTTTATCTTTTTCAGATGAGAATTGTAATATTTTGGTTATGAATTAAACTATATTATTTAGTTTATCCATTATTCAATATACAATATACATATTGTCCATACTACATTACTCCATATATTTACCAAAATGTATTTTAGGTATGATTATTCGAATTCTTAGTTTTAGAATATAATAAATAGGCACCTGCTTAGTACTTATAGTACATTAAACATGGTACCACTTGGTTAGAAATTATCGATCTAGCATTCAAAAATCATGGTAGTACAATTTTAAAAAATGTCCCCTAAAATCAAATGCTAATAATATTTGAATGAAATCAAAATATCTAAATCGATAAAAAATTAAAAGAACAAAAATATGAATCATATTATAGAACCTTTAATACTAGAACAGTAGAACCGTGTATAATGTATTGTATTACTTATAATAATAATAACATAATTTTGTATGTCCGTAAATTATATGTTTGACTTAAATTCATTTTTATACATTAAAAAAAATGTGTAAACACACATTATAATATTTTGAATTATAATTTTCAGAATTAAATCAATCAAATTGTTTCTTATACAAAGTGTAGTGATGTTTTGTATTATAGCGATACTTTCATATCGTTACTTAACTTTGATAGATGTATCCATTGATCCAATGACCCCGTTGCCACTGTCTGCCATACCAATGGGTCAGTATAATAATGCAGCTGTCGTTTCTAACGGCGAACCATGTGCAAAAATTGGAACGTAAGAAAAATATGGGTTAAAAAATGTATAAATAATATACCATTGTGATTAATAAACTTATAGATTTGCTATTTATCACAAATTACTAGTACACTTTATAACATTAAAAAAAATTGTAAAATTAAATTTATGTCCATTCATTTGAACAATATTAGCATGGAAACATTCTTAATACTTACTGTAAGTCTAATTTATTATTATTCTCTGCTAAGGATTAAATATCAATGGTTATAAAATAGTAAAATACATTGAAGATATGGCATCTTAAATTTTTAAAGCTAATGACAATATTTATAATTTGTGGATTAAGTTTAGGTACCTATTTTGTGAAAACATTTATAAAGTTCTTTGGTATATTTTATGCTTTATAAGAAGTGAGCATCTGCTTGGCCGCATTGGTTCTTAGTTTAAATTACTTCAATGTATTTTGGTATTTTATGCAAAACAATAAAATATATCCAACCATCGTTAAATTATTAAAGTTTAAAGTTCATTCGTTTATCGACAACCTATACATTTTTCGTTGGTGCTTACTACTTATATTATAGGTACTATTTAGATTATAATAAATGCATGGATTGCCAGTATTTTATATAAAATATTTTTGAATGTTGTGTTTTATAAAGACTGTAGAAAATATTAATTTATATTTTCGTATTTCAAGTACCTACTTGTTTTAAATACATAAAATACATTTTCCAAATAATTTTAATTCAACTAATTTTTGTATTATTTATACAGCTTGTATATAACAACTAATTAACAAGCTTATAACTTGTATAAAATAATTATAATTTGTGGATTTCAGTAAGATAAGAGAAAATATTAGAAATTGTAAGACGGAAATAACAAAATCAGGCGTAAATCATTTAGTAAAAATACATTTGCAAATTTCGTAACCTAAAATGAACATTTTTGATAAAATAATATGACAGATATTAGACGATGCGATATTAATATTATATTTTAGTGTCAATGTCAAACAAAGTGGCGTGTATACAACTTACTAAACAATTGATTTTATATACACTTTTACTATAGTGACATATTGAAAAACGGTGGAAATTCAGTAGACGCAGCAATAGGTACATTGTTGTGTGACAGTGTTGTATGTCCGGATTTAACGGGCATCGGTGGAGGTTTCCTAATGACTATATACAATAGAACTACAAACACATCGTTATTTATAAATGCTCGAGAAACTGCTCCTGCTACCGCCAAGTACACTATGTATGACAAAGATCCATCGAAATCGTTAACCGGTATGGAAATACTTATTTAAATCCTGCAATTGACATAGTTATCGAACTTTCTAAAAAGCCAATAATAGCAAATATTGTAAATGGTTTACTAAATAAATAGGTATTCCGTAGTTAAATTATCATAATGGCGTTTCCAATGTATGTACATACCTACTCATATACAAATACAATAATATATACCTATTGTATTATACACCTATACACTTGAACGTTCAATAAATATGAAAATATTCAGCTGAATATTTGTGCTGTACTAAAATGTACTTTTTATGCACATTTAAAACTAGTTATAATTTATTTTATTGATAATAAATAGTACTAACCTAAATATTATTTTTTATTCAAACTCTTTGAAAGTCATAATATATGAAATCAGAATATATATAAGAAATCGTGATAATATTGTTTATTGCCATTTGCATTCTAAAATCGAAATTACTCATTAAATTACGATGATACTCTTAAAGAATTGTTTTGTATTCTTTCAATAGGTAATTATTAATATTGTATAGCATTAAAACACTTCACCCAGTGTACCTACATATTTTTTTTTCAAATCAATCATAATATTTAAATAGCTGAAGTATGCCTTATTGCAAAAATATGTATTAAGTATGCTATTATAAAAATTATATTTTAGGTGCATTAGCGGTCGCGGTCCCTGGTATGATCCGAGGCATTTGGGTATCATACAATTTGTACGGAGGAGGAGTTAGTTGGGCTTCTCTGATCAAACCAACCATACAATTATGTGAAGAAGGAATAGTTGTGAGTAAACGTTTAGGAGCCAATATTAACGCAGCAAGGGATCTTATTTTAAAGACAAGATTGAAGTAAGCTCATTTTAAAACACATTAAATAATAAGGTTATAAAGTTTCTTCTGTCGCACATGATACCTACGGAGTTTCCTTTATTTAACGAGGCCTAGTAGATGGGCCTAGACGCGGTACAGTAGTTAAACCGCTAGATATGGGTTACCTTATACAATATAATAATTTAACTACACATATCATTTATTTATAAATATTAAATACTTAACTTAACTTGATATACTAATATATTCTTTATTCTTGACTGGACAATCTCTCCTTCTCGTCCCTGACTGCCTCCTTCAATACACACACACACACACACACACACACACACACACACACACACCATATAAGACCATTGCAAGATATAAATTCAATCTTATAAAAGACACGTATTTAAATATATTGATAAATTCGACGATGCGTTTTTTTTTGTTATAATATGCATATAGGTACATGTGATATAATCATATTATTTAGAAATTTGTTCATTAATTACATGACCAAGTACAATTTTTTTTTTCCAGGAATTATTTTTTCAACAATAAAACGGGAGATTTAATGAAGCCAGGTGATATTTATACAATGCCAATACTGGGTCAAACTCTACGAGTTATAGCAAACGAAGGTGCAAATGCTATATACGCTGGATCGTTAACACAAAAATTGGCCAATGATATACAGAGTGCAGGGGGAATTATAACAAAAAAAGACTTCACCGATTACTCGTGAGTTAATAAAAACATAATACAATACTTACTTTAAAAAAATGTTTACAGTGAATCAAGACATTGTAATGTTTAATTTGTTTATTAACAATATAAACATGTATAGAATATACGTCTTAAATCTAAAAACCAAAAAATCAGATCAGAATAACTATAAAA